GCAATTCCTTTGGTTTTTCTTTAGTATTTAACTCACTGCCACATGTCTGTTAAGTACGCCCACCTTGAAGAAGTTCTGTTCCTCTCTCCGACGGGATTACCGTTTCAATCTTTCTTCTTGTCCACTGACATTAATTTCACTGTCACTCTTGGTGTTTGACCAAGTGTTTGCTAAAACTTGTTTCCATAGCCATATCCCATTCTTCAGTGACTGCCTCTCATTGACTCCCTATTCACTCTCCTAGCCAAAATTTTATCAACTCCTTTGTCTATCCAACTGCTCCTCTCTGTCTTCCAGCTCTATCATATCAATTACTCTCCACCATCCTCCTCCTTTTTGTTTGCATATAAACTGACATTTTCCCAGCTACCATCAGTTCTGAGAAAGGGTCACCAGACCCGAAATGTTAACTCTGATTTTTTTCATTCACAGATTCTCCCAGACCTAATGAGCTTTTCCAGTAATGTCTGTTTTTGTAGCATTTCAGTAGAATTTAGTTCAGTGAAGGAATAGCTGGTCGTCAGGGAGGAATTGTTTAGTTTGTTAATAATTCTGTTAATTTGTTCATTTTTAGGGTTAAATAAATAAATAGTTTCTTGCTATTTATAGAGTGGATCAGGGATTTGCTTTCTTATATCCACTCTTAACAGATTACGAAATGAAAGGCAAGCTTCTCTGGGTGATTCTGGGATAATTATTAGAAGGGAAGCTCTACTTCTGTCACAACAGATTGGGGCTTGTGTGTCGATTTAATTATCAAAGGGGTTTGACTTTCACTGCCTTTTAAACAGATATCATACATATTTGCACCAGCTTCCCTTTCATTGCATCCTGGAGCAACCAGTACATACCAAAAAGAAACAACTACATATGAGATTCATAAATAAAATATTTTTAAATATTTTATTCATAAACAAAATATATCAAAATAGGATTGGAAACAAAATATTTATGTAGAAAATTAACAGTCACATTTACAGGACATATAATCTGTACAATTGTTGGCAAGAGGCATTTTCAACGTGTAAACATCCAGAATCTGAATCCTGATATGAAACAGTTGCTGGCAATGCTGTAGTTCCTGGCTTTGCCCAGTAGATGATGCTGCAGAGAAAGTTTCTGAAGCCCACTGTGGGAGCACCATCACTACAAGGACTGCAATGGCGCAAGTCAAAATGGAATACAAATGGGGTCCTGGCAGCATCACCCACACGAAGAAGTTAGTAAATTAGAAATTAAGTCGTAAATGAGGAAATTACCTGAGAAAAATATGTAACAGCATTAGTGTTTCAGTTAGAGTTCAGGTAATACAGAACCTGGCTTTGCACAAGGTATATAACAGGAACACTGATATAGTGCACAGAATCGAAGATAACACTTCCACTGGGATGTTCCATCCTGAGATGGTGCTGCTCAGAAGGGTTTGTGCAAGGTGGGAATTGACTGTTGATCCCAATCCTGAGCTCAGACTTTGCACCAGCAATCACTCGATCACCACAATACTGGGCTGATTTCCCCCTCCCTGAGCCAGGCTCAATGCCTGGGGTAACTCACTTAGTGCTGGACAGCCCCGTTCCCCAGAAGGTTTTGTTCTCCAGCCGCTCCATCCTGATGCTCAGGTGCTGTTGGTACAAGGCTCCGTGCTTCACCTGAACAGGTCACCTCTGTCAAAGGGATACCATTCGATGCTTCATTTTGATTGTTGGAGTATGGGTTTTTAACATAATTCCTAGGAGAGCAAAAACAGTAGATCACAGGTTACATTAAAGGAATCCAACATTGGACGCTGTGTAAAGGAGATGTTCAGGAGCACAGACCCATTACATGACACTCACCATCCTGGGGACCAATTGCAGCTGGAAAATGGGTGACAGTTGCTGCATGGCGAAGGTGCACAGAGTGTAGAGGAGAGGAGGTTTGTCGGGGAGGCAATGGGCAAGACCTGGACACTCCACAGGAGCTGTGCTGACCGACAGAGGGAGGGCCAGAGGGGAGTGTGAGAGAACCCTACAGTAGTTCCTCCTCTCACTGTGAGGGGGGTATTTGGGGAAACACAGTGAGCACAGAAATAAGGAAATCTGAGGTGGGCTTCCCAGTGACCGAACCCTCCTATATCCAGGGTAAAGGGGCAGGTTTGCAAAGTCCAAGAGGAAACTGAGCAACGACAACTTGCATTTGTAAAGCATCTTTAACACCAAACACTGGAGGGTTCAAACAAAATTTGACATGGAGCAACATGGGGGTATTTCAGCCAGGAGGGTAGCTTCTGTGGATTAACCGAAGCTTGGTGTGGGAGGAAGGAGAGAGGTGGAGAGACAAATCTGCGTAAACTCAGACAACGAGGTTTACGTTGTGAATTGCTGAGCCTCAGAGCCAGGCAGCTGAAGGCAGAGCCACCAATGGGGCAGCAATGGAAATCTCAGGGATACAGGGGCACAGAGATCTGAGGGCTGTACAGCTGAAGGTGGGTACAGACAGGGAGGGCTGAGGCCATGGAGGGATTTGAAAAAGGATGGGAATATTCAAATCTGTCCATTTCGGAAACTGAAATAGATTTAACGATGAAGCGCCCACAAACATATGGAGTATAAACATGAACCAGCTTATTCCCTGTTTGCAGCCTCGGTATCCTCCTCACAGCTTACTTTCCCACTGAGCTTTGTATCATCAGCAAACTGGGACAATTCCACTCTGTCCCCTCATCTCAGTCCCTGATATAGATTGAGAGTCTCTGAGGTCCCAGCACTGATCCTTGCAGCACCAGTTACGTCCTGAAAACTGAAAACGACCCAATTGTTCCTGCTCTGTTCCTGTCCATTAGCTAACCTTAAATCCATGCTATATTACGCCCCTCCCCCCCAACCACCACCACAACACCCCTATTCAACTGCGCCCTTTTCTTGTACAACAACCTACTGTGCGGCACCTTCTCAAATTCCTCCTGAAATTCCAAATCTATGTCCCATCCTCTGGCTCTCCAGTGGTCCATTCCAATCCACGGGGACTGTTCAGCAGCGAGAGGATGACAACCTGGTAGTGACTGGATGATGCTGCTCAATGACAGGCTGGATTGAAGCATCCTCACAGCTCAGAGAATGGACAGGGACAGAGCCCAGCAACATTTCACACAATGTTATACAAAGATAAAAGGGTTACAATGGAAATAGTGGAACATTCCATAACTCACCATCTGTCTTGTTTTCTGACTTTGTAAACCCCAATTGCAAAGAAGACAACTGAAATGGCAGCGATTCCAATTCCCAATCCAACTTTTGCTCCAGTGGAGAATCCAGGACCTGGAGACAGAATGATGCCATTAACAGAATGGGACATACGAACAAAACTAACAGCAGAGAACCTCAGCACCTAGTGTTTCAGAACCAGCCCCAGTACAAACAGATCCCTGGGTAATTCCAGTCCTGGAGGGATGTGGGAGGTTAGATCCCAATAATCACACACCTACCAGACCACCCCACAGCTCCATGTAAACACACACACACTGCCCCACAATAGGATCAATACATGCTTTCCAACAGAGAGAATTATAGAGAGAACACTAACCAACAACAACTTCCCTTCAATTAATCCCAACAGTTGCTGAAATTAATTTACTTTAAAATTCTTTTTCTGCTGGGAACCCTCCATGATAGAGTGGAATGTGCTTTACAACTGGGTCAATATTATATCCCACTGCCTTCACTCCAGGGTCATTCCCTACAGACTGTACCTCACTGCACCCTCACCTCTGGTGGGCCTGTCCTTCCAATGGGACACAGCATACCCAGGGATGGTGATAGGGGAGTCTGGGATGTTGTGTTTTTTCTGTCAGTGTGACTATGTCCCACAGTCTGCCAAGTTGGACACCAATCCCCAGATGTTAGTGAGGGGGCCATTGCAGGGTCAGCTGGGCTGGGTGCGTCATTGCTGTGCTGTGCTCACAGCCAGTGATCCACTCTGTTTGCTTGTGGATTTTCCTGTCCAGGAGGTTTGATACAAACTGACTGATGTGCTCAGACAATTAAAGAGGGCAGCGAAAAGTCCCCCAGGTTAATGTGGGACTGGAATCACATAGACCAGACAGGGTAAGGACGACAAGGTTTCCTTCCCTAAAGGGACATGAGTGAACCAGTTGGTTTCTTACAACAATCCAAAGGCTTCATGGTCACTTTTATTGGGACCAATTCTCTATTTCCAGATTTTTTTATGAAGAAACTGACTTTAAAATGTAAAACTGATACTGGATTTTCAAGGAGTTGTGATCAATGACTTAATGATTTCATTTCCATTGGAAGATTAAAGCTGAGGATTGCTCCATTTATGACAAAAATTCCCTGTACAGTGTACACAATACCTCATTTTATTTTTCGACTGGAAAAACATAGTCACACATGGAACCAAGTAAATCTGAAAACTGTGAGAAAATTCCCTTTCTCCCTGGGACGGGGTGGAAGGGCAGGTTACACCTGGATCAATATTACTCTCCACTGACTTCAACCAGCATCACTCCTAACCCCATCAGTTTCCCAACAGGTGTGTTCCGTTCAAATCGTACTGAGACTCTCCACACAGAATTCCAGAAACACTAATACTAGTGGGAAGCAGGAATCCTCACAGTTCTATATCTCAGGGACAACAAGGGGAGTCTCAGAAACAGAACTAACAATTCCATGGAGTTTAAGGACCAGTTCCAGGTAACAGTGACCCACACCACTCACTCTTACAGAGTCACTCTGTGGGAAAATATCACACAGCATTTCAAACCTTCCAATGTCCCTCCCTGTCTATCCAGCATTATCAAATCTAAGAGTTGAAAACACATGCAGTAGTTTAGAAACATATTTACCTGGTACAGGTGTGTTCGGTCCAGGTGTAGGAGCTCGCTGTAAAGAAAACATCATGTGTTTAGTATGGTGCGTGAAACAAACTGCAGAAATGTTCAGAACTATATCGGGTTTTAGGGAAACACATCCAGAGAGGCTGAGGTCAAACCGATCAGGAACAGGATCGGGAGTGAAAATTCCCGGTGAGGGTTATCAACAGTTTCTTGAGACAGTGACAGGCAAGTTCAGGATTGCATTAACCGTGAAGGGTAGAATGGAAGTTTTCCAGAGTTACCCTGATCAGGATCATTCCCAGCAGCTGACATCCCCCTGTGGGGACAATCCTCACAGGATCCTGGGCCGCATGGGACACTTTCAAGCTCAGTGCACTGGGTCTTGTAAAGGCTGCTTGGGGGGTGCTGTGGTCCCACCTCCTGCACACCAACCTCAGGCACAGAAGGACCATGTTTCTGGGGAGGAAGTGCAGGTTCTGACACCGTTAACCCCTTCCATCACCCAGTTTGGTAGCTCTGCCCTTCAGGGCTCAGCCAGCTCACTCGGTGGAGTTCATTACTGAGTTACCTTTGGGGATGGACAGGGAAGACCCACTCAGTAGATTCTGTGTCTGTGTGACCCTCAGTGCTTCCTCCAAGTGGTGCTGAGTCGGTCAAAATCAGCAGGAGGTTTCCAGGCCCACGTTTGACCCGAGGCTGAGAGGCTTCATGAGGCTCAAGAGTCAATGTTGAGAAGACCAATCAGCTCTCTCCCTCCTGACTGTATCCCACTGGTGTGATTGGACACAGCCTGGGATGGTGATAGTGCAGTCTGGGGTCTACAGGGGATTCTGTCATATCACACAGCCCAGCATACTGACACCAGACCCCAGATTTTAGTGATGGGTCCTTGCAGAGTCGACTGGGCTGAGTGCGTGTTTGTGGTTTCCTGATTCAGTCCCTGGGTCACAATCAGTGATCTGTTCACTTTTATTCCTGTTCCTCTTTGTAATGGTGAGATAGAAACTCACTGTCCTCTGTACTGATTTGGCAAATCAGTTAAATGACCCCCAGGTGAATGTGGGTCTGGAGTCACACATAGACACAGACAGAGTAAGTACAGCAGGTTTCCTTCCCTAAAGGGACATGAGTGAACTAGTTGGGGTTTCTCCAATAGCTTCATGGTCACTTTTATTGGGGAAAACTCTCTATACACAATTTAAATTGACTCATAGTGGCATAACTCCAGCTCAACCACAGACAGAAATTCAAAGATTAAATAGCGAATATCAGATATCACTCTCACCTCTTACAAAGAGATGGACGTGATCAGTCTGTTCCAATGAAAGATCCGCAGCCATTCTCTTATAAATGTGACACTGAAACTCCCCCGGGTCTGTCTTGTTGAGGTCAGCAATCAGAACTGACCAGTTGCCAAATTCCAGTTGATCTTTGAACAGGTTTGTTCTGTTTCTGAACAGTGGGTCTTGTTCTCTCAAATCATCATTCCCATCAACAAACTGGTGTACAATTTCCCTCTCATGTCTCCCCCAGACAACTAGTAAATCAGAGACTGAGACATTCCCTTTGTAGGTACAGGGCAACACAACCTGCTCCCCAAGGAACCCAGAAACTGGGACAGGCGAGTCACCTGGAAAAGATTGAAAGTATTTATCCATAGATATAACGTCCCTGCTGGTACATTGCATCCCAAGCTTCACATGGTTACACTGCGATTCTGGATTTACCAAAAGCTCTGATCAGTAACTCACTGCTTTCATTTCCGTGGGAAGGTTAAAGCTTGGACATTGAGGATCTTCAACTAAAAGCAGCTTGTGCTGGATATTTGTCAGCACTGAGCAGCTGGCCAGCAAGCCAGCACTTTGAATCACATGTTTCCCATTTGGACACACGCTGGAGATTGGGGGCATTAGGTGAGTGTAAAATGGGACGGGGCACACTGTGAGGTGAAGCTCAGGGCCAAAGAACTGACACGTGAATGTAAAGTCAGGAATGGATAGGGAGGGGATACCCAAGGATGGGGTGAGGGTTATCAACAGTTTCTTGAGACAGTGACAGGCAAGTGCAGTGTGCAGGGTGTGAGGCAATGATGGTCTGAAAGGGGCTGAGACCACGTGGATCCTCATCTCCCTCCACCACTAACCTGTCAGAATTTGCTCCTCCCTCCTGTTCACGTCTGCCTCCTGCTATGGCTGAAAGCCCAATCCCACACTCACATTACTAGACAATTCACAGTTCTGTTTGATCCCAGAACTGTCCCAGATTCCTGATTCCTACTGCTCAGGATCCTATCCCAATCCCACTGGATCCCAGTTTCCCCTCCCTGTGTCACCGAGTATTGCTCAGTGTGCAGATGCCACTGTTCCCATCCCAGGGATTAATCTGAAGACATTAAATGTCTTTCTTTCAGTCTTCTCTGGTGATCCTGGTGTGGGATCCAAAGCTACTGTGCCCACTCCCTCAATGGATCCACTTGCAGCCCACACAGCACCTTAAAAGCAAGATGAATTCCAGGTGTCCCCCCACCCCACCCAAGCGTTTGATCACTGCTGAAATGTCCCAACAGTCACAGCACTGACCTGAAACAGCAACAACATTTAGCAGCAGCAGGAGTAGTTTCTGTGCGTTGTGTCCCTGCAACAAGAAAACACAGTGAGCCCCTTTCCAACAGATTACCTTCCTGGTCCGGAAAAAAAAACAGAAATTGCTGGAGAAGCTCAGCAAATCTAGCAGCATTTATGAAGAAAAAAAACAAGAATTAACGTTTCGGGTCCGGTGACCCTTCCTGAGGACTTTCTTCACAGACGCTGCCAGACCTGCTGAGCTTTTCCAGCAACTTCTGTTTTTGTTCCAGATTTACACTTCTTTCGGGTTCCCTTCCGGATCAGGTTGATGATCTAGTCCCGGCCCGGATGATGACTAACAGATACAGAGAAGGGCTGGGACATGGAAACACGGAGTGAGGAGGTTGGGGACAA